TTTCTCCCTTTTGATCACGATTCTTCTATGAAATCTTTGATCAAAATGTCCAGTAATGGGCAGCCAGGTACCATTCATGTCTTCTGGTCTCATGGTAAAGGAGATAATAATTGCTTATGGAGGCAATCAGCCAGACATTCCATATCCTCCTTCTATTTCTGACTCTTCTTTCTCCGTTATTCCAGGTGAATAGAGACCCATTGTTGCACCTTGGATGGGTGCATGCAAGCTTTTCAGAGCACAGAGACATTGTGGTATTGTGTTTATAGTTAGTTGGTAATTGTATATTGGTGTCTTCTCAGGCACTCACCACGGGTCTGGGGCAAGATGGTAGAGTAAGTAGATGCACTAAGCCAACCTTCTTCAATAAAGACATGGAAGACCAAGTGAAACAGATGCAGATGGTAATCCTGGAGCCCTGAGCATCAGCGGACAGGGCAGGAAGATGAACTGAATGTCAACTAGAAGAGGAGTTGAATAGGAGCAGCGAGACAAGAAAAACAAGCTAACTGTGGGCTGGCGTGGCGTCGCATGGCCACTTGGAACTTCTGTGAGTGGTTGTGGATACGGCAGCCTTCGGGCACAGGACGTGGCTGGAGGTTGTACTTTCCTGGTAGATTGGGGTGTGGACAGTACCTCTCCTCACCAGCCCAGCAGCCAGTGGCACCCTCTTCTGCGAAACCTCTACTCTGCCTGGGATTGCGCACCTAGCTTCTGTGAATGCCCTAAACTGCACTACACCAGCAGTGAACCAAGAACTAACTGAGTACACACTTCCACATTCACCAGGAGACCGGTGGTGAGTGCCTAAGAAGATACCAATATATAATTATTAACTAACTTTAAACACAATATCATAATGTCTCTGAGAAAACAGACCATTTCAACTTACACAAAGAAACAAGACAAAGTGCCTCAAAAAAGTGACTAAGACAGAGTCAGAAAACACAGCACCAGAAATGGTACTGGGGCTGCCTGGTAAGGGATTTAAAAGAATGTTCATTAGGCAACATCAACAGATGGAGAGAAACATCAAGAAAACTACAGATGAAATCAAGGAAAACATAGGCAAAGCTATGGGGAAAAAATCAAAGAACCAGTTGGCCAAATAAATGAAAAAAAAAAAAAAAGGGAACCATCCAAAATCAGAAATTAGAAAATCAGAAGATTAAAACTTCAGAAATAAATAATACACGGAAAGGGCAAAGAATAAGAATTGAATCGGTGGGAATTCTTATTACTGAGCTTGAATACAAATCTCTCAAATATCATCTGATAGAGAAACAATCAGAAAAAACAACAACAACAACAAAAGTCTGAGGAAAGCCTAAGATTTACGTGGGACACTATCAAGAGAAATAACTTAAGTGCGAGAGGAATTCCTGAACAGGAAGAGATAAATTAATAATAATAATAATAAAGACTACTGTCCAAGAGTTGTTGGAAGAAAACCTCCCTAACATCATGATAGATGAGGCGATAACTAAACAGCAAGAACCTAAAAGAAAAACACCAAGACATATTATAATCAAATTGTTCAAAACCAAAGACAAGTAAAGAATCCTGAGAGCAGCTCAGGGAAAATGAAAAGTTACCTACAAAGGAGAGTACGAATAAGACTAAGCTTTGATTTCTCAGCAGAAATCATATAGACAAGAAGATAATGGGATGACATACATGAGACTCTGAAAGAAAGAAACTGCCAAACAAGAATCATATACCCAGCAAAATGGTCCATCAAACATGTAGCAAAGTTAGGTCATTTTCAGACAAACAGAAATTAAAAGAATCTGTAAACACCAAACCAATCTTACAAAAAATACAAAAGGAAGTTCTTTGGATTAAGAACCAAAACCAGGAGACAACAAATCTGAAACTAACATACATGACAATAGCACCTTAGACACAACCCTTATAGAGAAATAGTAAAACAGAGCATAAAAACTAAAAATGAAGAACCAGAGATACAGTTGCAACAACAACAACAAAACAAAGTACAAAGGCGTAATTCAGTTATAAAACTTTCAAAGTAAGAGGTAATCAAGTACATTTCAAGAAAAAAAATTAAATAAAAATATACTTAACTGTAACCCTAAAAACTAAGGAGCTCTGGTAGCATAGTGGTTGCTAATTTCAGTCAGCAGTTCGAAATTACCAGCGGTTTTGCAGGAGAAAGATGAGGCTTTCTGCTCCTGTAAAGATGTACAGCCTCAGAAACTCTATAACAGGGCCGCTATGAGTCAGAACTGACTCCACGGCACATAACCACCACCACCACCCCTAAAAACTAGAGCAAACCTTACTTCTAGCTCTAGCACAACCCCTACCCCTAACACTAACTCTTGTTGTTGTTGTTAGGTGCCATCAAGTCAGTACCAACTCATAGCAACCTTACGCACAACAGAACGAAACACTGCCCAGTCCTGTGCCAATCTCAGAATCATTGCTACACTTGAGCCCACTGCTGCTACTGCTATTGTGCCAATCCATCTAGTTCAGGGTCTTCCTCTTTTTTGCTAACCCTCCACTTTACCAAGCATGATGTCCTCCTCCAGGGACTGAGCCCTCCTGACAATATATCCGAAGTCTGAGAGACCAAGTCTGGCCATCCTGGCTTCCAAGGAGCATTCTGGCTGCACTTCTTCCAACACAGATTGGTTTGTTCTTCTGGCAGCTCATGGTACTTTTGATATTCTCCTCCAACACCATAACTCAATTCTTCTAAAGTTCCTTATTCACTGTCCAGTCCTAACCATAACCCTAATTAAATGAAGTCCTAAGGCCTAGATAAGACCTAGCCATAGTCCCAACCCTAACCATCACTCCTATTCCCAAACAACAACAACAAAGGTAGACCAGCAACACAACAAACTAAAAGGTAGGATTGAAGCAATGAGCGCACCAGCAGGTCATTTAACTAGGAGTTCCAGGAAACCATGATCCTAAACTTCCAAACCAAGGAACCAAATCCTCGGAGGTTTGGTTGTACATCAGCAGTCTCAGAGGGTACTTTCTGAATAGTTGTGGCTGTTGTAAATGTATCTTTCACACAACTTTTGCCAATTCAACTTTTAATATGTGGTACAACTTACTGACAGCAATTATAATAATTAGCTGTGCAACCCTACCATTAATCAATGTGAATTTTCAATCCCCCTTTTTCAATACCCCTGTTTCACCCTCCTTCCTGTTCTGGTAACTACTAGTACATTTTGGTCTCTATTCATTTGCCTCTTCTGGGTTTTTTTGGGTTTTTTTTTTTTTTTTTTTAATATGTTGTTGTTAAGTGCCAGCAAGTTGGTTCTGACTCCTAGTGACTCTGTATAGGGTTTTCAAGGAGCGTCTGATATGTTTGAACTGGCAACCTTGCAGTGCTTATCCTACCGTGCCACGCCAGAACACCATATATAAGTCATGTCATGTCCTATTTGTCCTTTTGTGATTGACTTATTTTACTCAGCATATTGTTTGTAAGCTCCAACTCCACTGCAGCACGCATCAAGATTTCATTCCTCCTACTGGCTGAGCAGAGTCCTGGTGAGGCACTGTGGGTTAATACACCAGACTGCAAAGCCGTTTGAACTGCAAGGTTGGTGGTTCAAGCTTACTAGCTACTCCTCGGATACCCTATACAGGATCGCTATGGGTCGGAGCCAACTCGATGGTACTTCACAACAACAACAACAACTGCCTGAGCAATATTCCAGAACATTTGTGGAAAAGCGGAATTAAAAGATAATGGAGTAGTTAATCTTACAGACAGTCCAGAAACAGAGGACCCTAGGACCATCAAGGAAGAAGAGCACAAGTGGAATGCAGGACCCTATCCAGAGAAGCAGAGACACCAGAGATGGCGACAGATATGGGGAACATGGAGAGAAGGAGCAGCTGAGGACTCTAGATTCATGGAATCAGAGGGACTGAGAGCTGGCGGCCACGAGGCAGGCTTGCAGAATGTGCCCTTTGGTGGTGTAAATTATTATATATGCCTGAGTGTTTAAAAAAAAAGAGCTAAAATGAATAGAAATACTGTTAACTGATGGTACATGGAGGGGATTATAACCATTGTAATGAAACAAAAGTACATGATTTGTTGAATGCAAAACTGATGATATGCCCTATAAACTTTCATTCAATTCACAATAAAAACTTTAAAAGATAATGGAATTTTTTGATGCCCTCTCGTATGTATGTACCACAGTTTGTGGATCCATCCATTGGCTGATGGGCATTTTGGTTGGTTCCACCTTTTGGCTGTTGGGCTATAGGGTTTTCAATGGCAGATTGTTCAAAAGTAGCTCACCAGGTCTTCCATCTAAGATACCACAAACTACCAACCTTTCAGTTAGCAGTCAAGTATGTTCACTCTCTGCACAGCTCAGGGACCCCTCCTGGCACATAGCAGGCACTCAATAAACGTGTTGTAAGAAGCAAGCAACTGGAAGGTCCACAGTGTAGTTCATGAGGAGAGGTCAGGGACAACTCTGTACTTGGAGTGCTAAGAAGCTCCAAAAGGGAAACTGAGCAACAGTTGTGCGTCTCCCCTCCCAGAGAATGGGAACATGGGGAGTCATGTGGGGGGCTGAGTAAGCCTAGGACCCCACAACTCAGAGTTTTCATACTAGCTCCTCAAGGGGGGCTGGGCATGTCTACCCACTCTCATCACAGACTGTTCAAACATACAGGAGGGCTGTAGACACCCTGAAATATCAGTCACATGCACCCCTGATGCACAGTTGGAGTTCAGCACAGGGATAAGAAACATATGGTGAGGCCTCCTCACTCCCCTCCCCTCTCAGCCCCCTCACTTAACCCCATGCCATTTAGAATAAAACACAACTTCAGCCACCTCTCTTCTCTCTCACTCACACTCACACCAAGACTGTATATGCTTCAGGCCTTTTGCACATGCTGTTTCTGCCACCTGGACCCCTACCTTGGGGAATGAAGGAGCCGCCTCTTTCAGGGCCCCCCTCCCCCCTCCCCTGCAGGGCCCCTACCGTAGAAGACGGAGGGTGGATCATGGAAAAAGGGGTAGTCAGTTCCGAAGAGCAGGTAGGTACTGTAGCTCCAGACGCCCAGGTAGAAGAGAAACTTCCAGGCGCTCTCAGGCATCTTGGCAGCATCTCTGGGCTGAAGGCGGTACCATTTGGCAAGGGGCTATGGGTGAGAGGGTGGGTGGTCATGGGTTCTGGGTGGCAGGGGCCACTCATCCAAGGTGGGGAAGTTGAGGTTGGGGATTCCTGAGACTGGGCATCATCCTGGAGGGTGGAGAGGGCCCCTGTGCCCACAGCTGCCCAAGTGTAACTGGAGCTTGCATGTGCATGCCAAGAACTAAAGTTAGTGCCCAGCTGTCCGGGCACTGTGGTGCTGGGGAGGGGGTTGTGAGGGCCGTAGGGGCCTCATAAGAGGGAAGCCAATGGGGATGGCAGGAGAGTCAGGGTGTTGAGGGGTCCGGGGGGAGATGGAGATATAATGGGGAGGAGAAAATGTTCAAAGAAACTGTGAGGGGTCTGGGGGAGAAACTCCTAGAAGAAAATGTGAGGGAGAATATGGGGATGCCAAGAGAACATGAGGGGCTGGAAAATCCAAGGGGTATTCACAGAGGGACATAAGGGGGCAGGGAAAACCTGAGGGGAAAGAAGCACTGTTTAGCAGGTGTTTAGGGAGGGCTTAAGGATAATATGGGTTGGAAGGTGGGGATCCATGGGAATTGAAGGGAGACAAAGAGAGGATAAAATGGAGCTAGAGGGAGAAAGAGGGGAGAGGACAAGGGAGGGGTTTCACGGTTGAGCAGGAGTGGGAGCTGAGATACAGGGACCAGGGGTGACACCAGGGAGAAGAGCAGGGCCAAACATGGAGGAATCTGAGGGGTGACTCAGTTGCACACTGAGTCTGGTATCCCTGGGGTTCTAGGTAGGGGCCCTTAGTCCTCTGGGAGCAGGGCTATAGCACTGCTGGGAGAGTCCAGTCTGCAAGGAGGGGGCTCCAAGGGAACTTCTGGCTGAGGAAGCTCAGAGCCAGGAATGGTTACCATGAAGACAGCCAGAGTCAGCTCTGGTAACCCCTGGCAACAGGGCTGCTGCCAAGAAGATGCATTTTTGGGGACTGGGGCAGCCCCTGTGCCCCACCCAGTTTCTTCAGAAGTGCTTGGGAAGGGCGAATCCAGAACTGGGTCACATGCCCCACACAGAGACTGGGGGTGGGAGCCCGCTTCAGGACCACTGGGGGAGTAGGTAGGGTGACCTCACTGTCCCCCACTTGGCTGGCTCTCTCCCAGATGAGTGGAGAGGGCTCAAGTTTGCTCTCAAAGCTCAGGGGCCACCACATTTCCTCCCAACCACCTCCTCCACCTCGAGTTTCCCACTAGAAAATTGGGAAGATGAGGGGAGAGAAGGAGAATGGGGACAAAGTCAGCTAGGGGATAGGGCTGATGTATACAAGGACTCTTCTCATCCATCTCCCAGTGCTTAGAGCTCTCCGTGATGAGAGTGACAAGTGGGTGGGGGAGGAGACAGGGGCCCCCAGAAACAACAGCCTACCCCCTACCTAACAAGGCCAGTCTCTCCCTGGCCAACAGAGAAAGGCCCTTTTGTTGGCACTGGGCACTCTGTCCCCTCACCACTGCCAGACTGGGGAGGTGTGACCCGCGGTCTGAGGCTGCCTTTCCATTCAGCTCCGGAATCAGCAACCCCTCCCCAGGGAAGAGAGGCGGTGAGCCAGAGTTACCCCCACGATCACCGGAGACAGGCACAGGGCTCCCCCAATGCTGAGCAGATGACAGCAGCCCCTCCCACCCCCAGCCTGGGAGGCCAGCCACCGGCCAGCGCAGTCCTGGCAACATCACTGTCCAGCCTGAAGCCCTGCTGCGTCTCGTCCTCCAGCTTTTTGCCGCCAATGGTCAGATGGTGGCGCTGACCCTAGGCAGTGCAGGCAGTCCTGCCTCTTCACCGTCACCGACCAGGAGCTGCGGGCAGCCCCGCCTCGCGGCTGCTCGAGCCCTACTCCAAGGGCGCCCGCATCGCCCGCATGCACAGGGCTCTCCCGCCGTCCCGCTTCCCTAGGTGGCTCGGCCCTGCCCGAAGGGGCGCGTGGTTACCAAGTCTCCTCATTCCCAGAACGTCCTGCCTTGGGGTCCCCAGGTCCCGAGGTCTCCGCTCATTGTGGGGCCACACCCGGGCCCGGGACCCTGCAACCATATTCATCCGAGAGTAACGAAGGGTTACTCTCCAGGGTCCAAGGTCTCCTTCATTTCCGGGCCCTCTCGTTCCTGCCCCTCAGTCCCAGGTCCACTTCGAGGCCCCCGCTACACTCACCTGAAAAAGGTGCGCAGTGGCTCAGGAATCCCTTTCTTTCCCCAGTCCCGGCCCCACCACGCTTACACAAAAAAGGTGTCCGGTATCCCGGGTCCCCCAGGTCCTTGTCCTCCGCACTCACCCGAAAGAGCCGTGCGTTTGCCGCCTCACGCAGCACAGTCCAGCCGAGCGCGCCGACTGCCAGCAGCAGCAGCTCTGGCGGCGCTAGGTGCGCGTGCTCGGCCAGGCCGCGGCGCGCCAGACCCCAGCCGCAGTCCTTGCAGTCCCTCGCCGCTTCCAGCGCGCTACCCCAGCCGCGCTGCACCAACTGCGCATAGCTGGGCATGGGCTCGGGACCTGCCGCCGGCACCGCTGCTGTCCCCGCCATGCCGGCCGCGCCCGGGTCCTACCAGCCGCCTGCGCCTGCTGTGTCGCTGATCCGCGCGCCCCGCGTCACGCGCCGCAGCCGGGCCGGGGGCGCGCGGTCGGACGAGACGAAGGGGCGGGACTAGCGCAGACTCCGCCCTCGGGGGCACCGGTTTGGGAGGGCTGTGTGGGGCCGCGGAGTCCCGGCTACCAGCCCCACTGCGCTCGGATGTCCTTCTGCCTTCATTGCGCCTCCGAACCCACAACGCTTCCCACACTCATCACGCGCCCTCGTGGCGTATGGCCCAGTGGTCACAATGTTGGCTGTGCCTTCGGGGATACCCTTTTTACTCGTCTCATCCCGGGCGCCCACGTGCCCTGAATGCCGACGTCCTGTGCTCGCGAAGCTCCTGGAGTCCCTCCCCTCAAGGGCTTAGGTCCTGCCACCTGGGCATTCCAGAGGTGTGTTTTTTTCTCAGAATGGGTGCGCCCACGGGATAGCAGAGGTGAAAATGCACCCATCGGTCTGATGGTCTCAACCCGGACTGTGGACCGGTTGTGCCCCCCTGATTTGCTCTTGGGGGCGTAGGGAACAGAGTAGGAGGTGAGGATGTGGGCATGGGGACTTCCTGGAGGGGTCATGGGCGGGAGGAGGGCCACCAATGCTCGTGCAGCCCATCATGGATCAGGCCCCAGCTCCCAGTCAAAAGCTAGACTTCATTGGGATGTACCCAGTGATCTTCTATGGAGTCTGAAAGCCCCCACTGGCTCTTTTGTTGAGGAAGTCAACTAGTTCACTAGGCACTCCCAGTCTCCAGCCCAGCACCCTCCCACCCTAGCCTCATCTACTTTCCACTTTCCAAAGAGATGGGTAAAGGAGCGTAGTGGTTACGAATCCGGCTGCGAACCTCAAGGTCGGCAGTTCGAAACTACCAGCGGTTCCGCAGAAGAAAGATGAGGCTTTCTGCTCCTGTAAAGATTTACAGCCTCTGCAACCCTATACAGGGTAGCTATGAATCGGAACCGACTCCAGGCATACAACAACAACAAGAAGAGATGGGTGGGAGTCCTGTTGTAGCGCTGTGGGTTAATGCACCAGACTGCAAAGCCATTTGAACTGCAAGGTCGGCAGTTCAAGCTCACTAGGTACTCCTAGGAAACCCTATACAGGGTCACTATGGGTCGGAACCAACTGGACAGCACTTCACAACCCCAACAAGAGATGGGTGTGGTGTGGACCTTGGAGGACCTGCCTGGGGTTCCATTCAGCCACTCACAATCCACCTCAGGGAACTTTAGGTAAAAAGTAAGCTGAGCCCTTCAGCATCCTGCCCTCCCCTGCCTGACTCTTCTCCTAGCTCACTCCACCCTGCAAAAGGATAGAGCTTGTTTCCCACAGATCTACATGGC